AATTCTACACTTGTCGACTATTGCGCTCGGATGTGATAATTGTTTTCGCGACTTTGTCAAACAAACGCCATATTCTCAAACAAGTTGCAACCTTACTGTTTTGCTGACAGAGCAAACGTAATTAAATCTGACATGACTCATAATGAACCTGGGTTACATTTGAAAATCTGATGCGATGCATGCGTGGATTGTTTCGTTTTGAATTAAATTAATCTGACATGATGGTAAATGGAAATCCCAGTTTAGGAAAGTCATAAATAACGTTTATACGATTCTGTCAGTTGCAAAATTTCACTTTATGCTTTGGTAGCCCAAATATAATTATGTAATCTACGTCACAAACATATTATTTCAATAAATTTTTTGCACACATATTATGTGTATATTAATTCTGTTTATTAAAAAATCCATGGCTTTGAATATATTTTTCTTTTTTCGTATTTACAGATGTATAAACACACAATTTTTCGTTTAATAAGACAAATTATTGAACAATGTGAATTCAAATGGAAATTTCTGCGTATACTTTTTTACTCTGACGAAATTGGCCGATTAATTAAATTAAGTCTGTGCAGCACACCTCATTTGGCTCCCACACAAAACCGATATGTACCTTTAATCGGCCCACCTTTGCAACCATTTGCGAGGTCCAAAATTAGCCTATCCGAATTGCAGCAATTTAAACTTTGTCGATATTTCACGGTAATGGCCTCAAATATTTAGCAATATAATGATTATTACCCTCGGGGTATAGAAGTGTGTCCCAGTGTTGGGGCGCCGCGCTCGCAATTGGAACGACTGCAAAAGGCAATTTATTTAATGCGAGACATCCAACACGTGCGCCACAACGAGCAAGGCAGCGAAATTTTCTACGGCTGCTAATTATGGTTTTACATTTTCACCGGTCCGATGTATAATTTGGACAATTTAAACATGTTATTCAAATGCACACGAGGACTACGTGCGTATTTGTTTGCAAAGCTCTTGCGTAATTTGCTCAATTTGAAATTCACTATGAATAATGCAAACACTACTCAGAACTTTCGGCATCAATAATATTTATATAAATAATTAATAAATTCAAAATATTTCACAGCTTTTCATGCCAATTATCATGCTATTCAAATTGGTGCTGTTCAAAATAACAAGGTTCTTGCACTTTAAAAAATAATTAGGCACTCATTGCATGCGATAATAACTGCCCAGTTGCATTTTTCCTCAATAAGAATTGAATTGAATAAGATTTTTAAGTTGAGGTCTATTTGCCAGTGGCACTAGTGAGTGTGAGTTCATTTTTTTCATTTATTCTTTTTTATACTGAAATCAAAGATTCGTTTTAAAAGTTTCTAAAATTTCATGTTGGAATATGAGAAAAAAATAGGTTTTTTATTTTTAAATTTTCCGTAGTGAAAAATTTATTATCACTATTGAAAATGAAATTTTCGAATTACGAAAGGCATAAAATCCCTAAAATCCACTTTTGTTTCTAATCTTAATAGAAACCGCAACGCACCTGTATAAAATGGGCTTAACTGTGTGTATTTTGTTAAATTATGAAATATGAATAAAACTCAGGGCATAAAGCCGGAAAAGTCGGCGACCACTCTGGCACGCGACGTTGTTTTGCTTTTAATACGAAAACTTTTTAATGCGACCAAAGAGGCGGCGCGAGCGCGACTCTCTCACTCTCTCTATGCCATTTTTATATACGAAAAAGTAATTCCGATTCCACTCCGCTTAATATTGAAAAGCGCAAGAGCGCCGCCGCCGCCGGCGACCGTTCCGCTCCTTTTCTCTTCCCTGCTTCTCATTTTTACGACCTAAAATTTAATATCCAGCAGCTTGCAAATATTATAATACGATCAGCGCAGCAGCGCGAAATCTGCAAGCCAGCCCGACTGCTGTTTTCAAAATAAATATACATATGACACTTTGCCAACATTATCATTCAGATCGATAGCAACGTCATCAGCCGAGACTTGTGTGTTGGCAACTTTCATTCAATGAAAAACAAATATGTACACGTTGAGCAAAATATAAATTTTTGTGGCGAATGAACAAAAAAAGTAAAGGCTTTTTGCTGAAAAAACGAGCAAACCACTAAAAATAAAACGGGTGGGTTATAAAAACAGTACCTTTGAAAATGATGAATTTTTAGGTTGAAATTATTCTGAAATGTTACATAGCTTAAATTATTATTTATTATAGTAAAAGCAAGCCATAACTGCCATAAGCCATTGTTTCAAATACTTAACCGGAAAAAAACAGCTGAGGATATTTTTGGAAACTATGTTTTTGTTCTAAAACTTATGGCACTGCAGATTTTAAAACTATGTTAAAAATATACAATTCATCTTACTTTCAATCAGAATACGATTGAAAAATTTTGTGAAAACATATTTTCAAATTTCTGAAAATGCATTTTAGATACAATTATAAAACACTATGTTGAATTATTCCAGAAATATAAAATAAACTCTGATTAGGCGCCTTTCCTTGCTCTTCCGCTGCATGCATTTTTGGAAAATTGGCGGTGTCAAAGCCCAAGCTCTTCTTTTTCTTTTTCCGCCAGGTTATTTCTCCTGACACTTGGCTGGAGATGAAAGACAAACAAAAGGGTCGAGAGGGTGTTCGCTCGGATGGCTGGAGGAAGGGCTTTTCCTTATGTGTGGTGAATAATACGGTCAGTGTGGGGGCGACTTCAGGTCTCTTTCCACCGGTGTGTTGTTTCCTGCCGTTAGATTGGTCATCGCTCGTTGTGTGCTCTCGCGCGCTGCACATTCTTGTTACACGCGCCACTGATCAAAGTGACCCCAAAAACCACCCGGCAGTCACATCATCATCATCTGTTCTTCTACCTGATGCACAGGAACGAACACGAATGAGCAAACCGCGGGGCGCGTTTCGCACTTGCCTCAAATTAGCGACGAGCGCTCTGACAGACGGCACACGTCGGTTGCCATCAAGGGCGACCAGCATTGCTACGAATGCAAAAAATTATCCGCACTTCAAACGAAAATCCATCCTTTTATCAGTCGTGGTTTCAATTGAAAGTTCTGAAATTTACAAAAAAAAAAAAGAATAAAATTGCCCATATTATAAAAAATAAATGAGGGCGATACGGGAGCCTAACCGCCATTCAAAGCTATAGATTAATATTTAAAACAAAAATAAATTATTGAATTTCGGAAGTTTTAGCTTAAAATTCTTGCTTGTGGTGGTGCCGTTTTGTCCAACAATTGATTTTTTTTTTCAAATAAATTGTTTTCAACAATTGAATTCAAACAATGTGATGTAACAATTTGGACAAATTAACAACAATGATATAAAATAATTTGAGTAAACTCTCAAATAGTTTTCTTATTTCAAATAATTTAAGAAAAAATTATTGTCCTCACGCCATGTTAGAACTAATGCATTTTTTCTGTCAACTCTTGTTTTAAGTACCATTTATTATGGAATTCTTGGAAAAAAGTAAAATTATTATATATAGTTTTCTTATTTTCAAAATTGCATTAAAGATTTCTTCATTTTCTTCAATTTTGGGTTGTTCCAAATTTTAGAGATTGCTGTTTTCATTGTTGCATCTTTTCGGCGTTGAGGTGGGCCTCATGTTTGATGATAAGTTGTTGTTGTTCAAGCTTGTTTGCCTATCACAACCGCGTTAACGAGGTGCGGCTTTGAGCTTGGCATGATGCTGTGTCGTTGCCGCTTTTATGTGTACAAGTCTCGCTATCTAGCTGATGAGGCGCTGAAGACGAATCCAAGCATATTCCCGGGGAAATTTTGCATGAAAGTAATTATTATTGCCTTTGATCAGAGCAAGTGCACGCAGTGGTTGCTCGCGTGTAATCAGTTAGTCGTTCGCTCCGTTGGATTCTGGCTTGATTCGCGCGCACGGCTGCGGCGCAGAATGCGCGGTAATGGTCTTGGTGCTCTTTGCCGCAATTTGTCACACGGCCGCTGTTGCACTCTCTCAAGAGGTTTCACTCAAAGTGCTTCCAAGAAACAATCTTTCGCGTAAATAAATCAGCAGCTTAAGACTTTTAATGCACTTTGTCATCGAAACTTTTCCTTTGACGGTTCTTTGCTTTGAGTGACAAAAGTTAGCAACTTACAAAGCATTTTGTTAATTTATGAAGGAAAAAGCAGTAGCTTTTTCACGAGCTGCAAAATTCAATTTGATATTTGTTAGAGTTTTGCTCTGTGTATTACATGTGACGATATCAGCTTTAATTTCAATTCTTTAAATAAAATTGTCAATAAGAAGTTTTATCATATTGTGACCAAATAATTTATAGAAAATAAGTAATGAAAATAATTAAAAAAGTTTAATATTTTTAATTATTCAGGTTTTTTAATGTTTCATTTCATTAACGTTTAAAATTATTATTATTTTTTTTTTTAATTTTAATTTTTTTTTTTTTTTTGGATGGATACCTTATTATGAAAAAGTTGCCACTTGGAAGATAATCAAAGGTATAAATTAAAGAGTATTGAACGTAAATAATGTGTCTGACTTAATTGCCTACAAACGAATTTATAATTTTACAATAAATCTTTCATCCTCTGTTTTTTCTTACTTATTCAACAAATAAAACAAAATTCACGAATTTTTTTGAATAAAAAATTACATATCCTCTTCATTGCATCCCTTTGGAAATGCAATGTAAATTTGTTTTAGTAAAATAAAAATAAAAAGTTGATCATAAATGCTTGAAAAATTAAATATTTTTAGTGTTGTGAAGAATATTCAATGATTTGCTGTTTTGAAGAGTAAAAAAACTTTTAAATAAATTACATTGAAACAAAACATTTTCCTGGAAAAATTTCATTATTTTTCCTGATCGAAGTTCAATCAAACTCAACTTGAATGTTGCTAATGCTAACAAATGACATTAATAATAAAAATTGGCCGTTTTGCTTTGAAATAGTTCATCATAAATCAAACTCTTTCAATGCAGAGAAGTAATGGCTTGTTTTCTGATTGAATGTTGCAGGGCTGCTGCAGCCAGAGAACAGCATCGAATACACAGTGGAGGAATTGAACCACGGCAACGATAGCTCATACCCATATTTCGACTTCAACGTGCCGAGAAATGTGACAACCGCCGTCGGACAGACCGCATTTTTGCACTGCCGAGTTGAGCAACTGGGCGACAAAGCGGTAAGTACTCTGCGACCGCCCCGACACAATTTCCTCCGCACCGCCGGCTGCCTTTTCCGTATATACGCAAATTTTCCAGCAGCACTTTTTTCCTCTCTTTTTCCCGAACCTGCGAAGCGGAACAAAGATACGAACGCGAGAACGAAAACAGCGAAAGAGGAAAATACGCTCGTCCTTTCTTTTTTATTCCCGTGCTAAATTTCATCGGGCCCGTTATCAAAAACCGCGCGCGTTTAAGAATGAAGAAAGAAATTTCCCTCTTCGTTTCGCATTTTCTGAATGATTGATTCGCAGCGTCCCCCTAAGCCCTCGCCTTGAAAGTGGAGGAGTGAATTTTGGCAAGCGTTTCAAAGACTTAGCCAACTGTGAATTTTCGCTCCAAATTTAATTTTCCAATATCCGCCGCTTGTCCGACTCGCCCGTTTTATTTTTATCGCTCCAGTGTTGGAGGTTACGCCTCATAATGATAAAACTCGCCCATCCGTTCTCTGTAAGAGATTTTTTAATTACGGCCACAGCAATTTTTGCCCATTACCACCGAGTGCTTTGTTTTTTTACTTTTTTTTTGCCAGGCGCCGCCACTTCAAAAGCGCATTAATCCACATTTAAATATGAAAAAAATATATTCTCCTCCGCAAAAGCAGCCGGAGTTTTATACTCTGTGCGAAATAAATTCCCTCTTTTTCTCGTACTCGTACGAAAATCGTGAATCAAAATTAAAAACTCTTTAAAAGCGTCGCCCTAATTTTTAGAGACAGCCTCGGATGAATTCCTTTTATTTTTTTCGCCTCATCATGACGCGAAAAAACTTTCCCCCGGCGTTGCCGGTGATGAATTATTTAGATATTTTTCTGTCTGTGAGCTCTCTCTTGTGTAGTTTTGTTTATATTCGGGCCAACTTTTTTCCCGGGAAAACTTTTGCTCATCACAAGAGATAATGGCAACGTGCGTGATTCATGCCTCCACATTATCTAACTTTTTGTACCGCTGAAAAAATCCAGTCTTGCAAGCAGCTGCTCTCACGGTTCACAGACAAATGAAAGAAAAGTCTTTTTTTCCAACGAAACAACTTTTTTGTTGTCTTTATCAGCGAACTCGAATTTGCTGATAACTCTGTTGCTTGCGAATGCAAATGCATTTTCATTCCTCTGTTCGACGACAGAAAATTTGATTTTCTTTTGCAAATGAAATTGTGTCACACGACGCCAGACTAGTCGGGTGTATTTGAATAATTATGTTAATAGCTTCGCGGTTTCCGATGCTCTCGCAGCTGCAAGAGAAGTGTCCCGTAGCGTTTCTTGGCTTTGCATCGCTCTAATTAATGGGTGTTGGGAATTTGCTGCATGTATGCACAAGGAATTTGCCATATTATCAAACTGCAAGTGCGCACATAAAACTTAGTAATGCACTTTGTGAAAATTACTCTGAAAATTAAAATTGAGTAAATAACTTTTCTTAGCCAACTATTTTTGCACAATATTAATTAATTGTGCGGTAATTCTAAAGAATAAATTATTATTTTTAGTTAGTGATATTAAGTCCCATGAAATACACATTCCTACTTTGAAATGAGAGAAAAATATATTTTAGACAATATTTGATTGTAATGAAACATAACAAACAGTTTATTAAAACATCAATGAAATGATAATGAATTTGACAATAATTTGATCATATTCAATTAAATTATTCTTGAAAAGTTCTAGGGTCAACGATCGTAGGTAAAAAATTGAGTTTTTTTTCTTAATTCGAGTCATGGTTGCTGTTTTTTTGCATATATATGTATATGAGAAGTGGTAGATATTATACATTAATGAATTTTAAAGGAAACCAACTCTGTTAATTGAAATGAAGGAAACATTAATATCCATGATTCTGTGAATCTGATGCTTGGAGAAAATGAAAATTATTTAGAATTTTATCATATTATTTTGAATGTTTTGAAATTTTTCATTTACATTGAGGAAAAAATGTTGCTTTAATTCAAATAAATCCGAAAAATTTTAGAATTTTATTTAAATAATAATTAAAAAAAAAATGCCATTTAAAAGAAAAATAAAAATATGAAAACAAATTATAAATTGCTTTTTATAATATTGAATTGTAAAATGTAAATAAATTTTTATTCATCTGTATACCATGATGTTTATAGAGCAACTTAATGAAACAGAATTCAGCAGCAATGAATGCTGCGGCAGATTGCAGCTTAACGTGTGGCCTAAACTATGGGGCAGGGGACGAACACGCACCTGTCCAACTAAATCGGTCGCGCGAACTCGCAAGGGACCGTGAGCGAAACTTGCGGGGGGCAATCCTTCCCTTCTCTCTAGTCTCTAATGTGACAAAAATATAGCGGTGGTCACGCAATAAAATCACGTGTGCTGCTCGAACAAGGGACGCTCGCTATTTATAACCGGCTAATATTTACATAAGAAAGGCATACGCGAGTAACGAACATTAGCAGCGGCTCGGCTGATTTATTGCAGCACGCGTCGAGCGGCGAGCACATGTTGGGATTTAATGGCGCAGTATCTGAAGCGTTGCATTTATTTACTGCCCCACCGTGAAGCCGGCCGTGTAATTTACGGGGTTAATTGAGTTTTGACAGCGATACGCACCCCCGAAGTCTCTCTGCTTGGCGATAAAAATAATTATACTCGCCTGGAATTAAGGCGCCGGCAAAGGAAATGGATATTTTAAAGTGACGTGCCGTTCGGCCGTTATGATTTTAATGCAGGATTTAGAAACGAAAAAAATATTCACCGTTCAGAAAATAGACCTGCAGTGAGACTATATCGATTTATTTTAATTCCGTGTGTCTTTGCTAACTGCATAATTTCGAGATAAATTCCAAGCTGAATTTTATCTCTTCCTGCTCTGAAAGTTCGCCAGCCGCTATCTGCATCGTAATTGCTCTATTATTTCAGCCACGGAATGAAAATTCTTATCCAGCTGTCATCAAATCAAAAAGTGGCAACTCACGAAAAACAATTTTGGTGCTTGAAAAATGTTTCCGGCGTTAAAAACAATCAAGACGGAATGTTCATATATTGTAGATGCAATTCCACTTGGCTTTTTTTCTCTTTCTAAAAATAAATGCGAGAAAAGTTTGTTACACGTCCGAGTTGTGGCTGAAATTGTTCGTCTCGTGTAAATTTTGAGATAAGGCAGCCGTAAAATTCAGAGTCGTGACGTGGTGTAATTCGGCGAGAGCTGGAAATAAAACAACGCCACCGCTTTCCTCTGCAGTCTTGTCGGTTCCAGAGAGCACTGCTGACTCTTGCACGGTTGTAAAACAGACCCGTTACATACTCTCACTCTTAATTAACTTATATAAAATGCTGTCGACCTTTTCGCGTGTGTGTGCCTTGACGTGAGTTTTAACGCGAGCCGAGCCATTATCTTGAAATGTTCCTCTTCGGGAAGTGGTTTCCTCTCTATCTGCGGGACGCCATTATTGCTAGTTGCCTCTTTTCCTCATTTCCGTGCCGCTTCTATCCAGAATTCTCCCTCTCGTGTTTACTTAAATTTTTCATTACAGTCGGCATAAACAGAAGAAAACTTATTGTTTCTCAAATTGTTTATTTCCTCTAAATGATTACGTTTTATGTTCACAACGAGGCGAATAACTGTTTTGTTTTCATCCTAATGGAAAATTTGGAGAAATTCTATGGATTATTCATTTCGACGAATATCCATTTTCCTTGTCACTCTGCTAATCACTTTCCTCTTCACGTTCACTGTTTGAAATGTCATGCTCAACATGACGCTGAAAGCAATATTCAGACGATTTATTTGAAAATTAAAAAACAAATAATGCCATGTTGATAATAGAAAAGCGGTTTTGAATGAAGGAAGAAAGCTCTGAAATTTTTGAATTTAATCTCTACAAAAACTGTTTCGGAGAGGGAAAAATTCTTTTATTTTATTTGCAGCTAAAAAATATATCTGAATCTACAGCATTTCCAGATGTCCTCAAATTAGCACTCAATAAGTATTATCGGTGATCAAGTTCCATAATTCTTTTGTATTGAGATTCATTGACAGAAAAGTAAGTTTTTAAGTAAAAATCTTTCTCTAATTAAGATTTATCTTATTGTGAATCAAGAAGCCTTGAAGAAACACTTGACATTTCTCTAGGAAATTTATGTTGAAGGCAAATATTCAATCCACTTGAGTTGAGAGAATTATGCCCTGGGGCGAGGGAGCGCCGGGCAATTACGACATTTTGTCAGCCTCCCGTGATGGCCAAATGACAATGTTGACCCTCGGTGAGCGCGGTGGTGGCAGGCAAGTCATATGCGTCTGTCAAAGCGTTGGAAAAGGGTGTGTGTGTGTGGGTGGGTGAGGGCCAAAGTGGGGTGGGAATTTTGCTCCACTCGGCTGCCTAATGGCGAGAAGCTCCTCGGCAGGCACGAGGCGCTAATTACAGTCGTAACCATCAGCGCACGCAATGATAATTACACCTCGCAAAGCAAGCCAAAGAAATGTCGGTGGGTGTGGGTTGGACGATTGCTAAACGGAAATGATGACGAGATCCACGTGCAAAATAATTTATAACGAGCAAACAGCACTCGTGAATGATGTTCCAGCAATTTTCATTTCATATAAGTGCAGTGCAGCGTGCAATTTTGCAAATCATACAAATTGCTGTTCGCCGTGACATTTGACCGTAATGACGCAGCAATTCATTAAAAAAGCAAATCGTTAGTGCTGTAGAATATACAGCAGGTTAGCAAGTTGATGGCGCACTTTTTTTAATCGACATCGTGCTAGATTGATAACAAATGTAAAAATCAAAACAAATTATAATAGGACTTGATTTTATTTGAATGAAGTTGCTCAAAATTGTTATTTACCAAGAAGTATACTATGAGAAATTTTTGAGACTAATTTATACTTCTTTTTAATAAACTGAGAACCTTAACCAACTCTTTGGACATCCAGCTGAAAATTTACAATTGCTGAATTTTTTTATACATGGGTTAATCTTTCCGATA